GAATGCAGGTGTTCCAGAGGTTTGGGCCCCATGGAGCAGGGTGCAGCTCCATTTCAGATCCCAGTGCAGACAAAACAGAGTGGTAACCTGGGCATCAAGATAGTAGGTAGTATATAATGTCAACTGTGAACACAGAGGTGGTGGGACTTAGTAGTGGCCCAGGCTCTACAAGACTGGGTGCAGAAGCAGTAGGCATGCAAAAATAGCAGGCCACTGCTATGTCTTGGGGTCTAGGGATGAGGTCATCTACTCTGGTAATTCCACTCCCCACGGAGGTGCGGTTCTTCAGCAGATCAGACTGTGGAGTGCTAGTCCAGTTCCGAGAAATTGACATTGGTTAGCCAAGACGGTGAAGTGGCACAGCTCACCCAAGCCCCTTCTATTGCTGGTGGTGTACTAAGCCAGCTTAGGAGCCTAGGAGCAGAAGTGCTCTGGTGGGGCAGGGCTCTCTGTCCTCTAATGGCAGATATACCCATTACCAGGAGATAACAAATTTAAATGGTGTGAGAGGTGCACCAGTCTGAAGTTTTATCTAATACCTTCTGTGCCAAACACAGTGTTAGGAACTGAGAAAATACAAATGAGTGAGGAATGGGAATGTGTTACAATCCACTGAGATAGAAAATGAGTATAATATCATCTGATATGACATTGAGATCGGGACCCTCATCAATGTTTCTGTATTGCCTGTAGCATTTAATATGTCTACACAGTAGGATCAATAATGTTTAATGATTTCATTTAACCACAAGAAATGTGTGCAGAGTTCTAGGAGGGACCTCAGACATAGAATTACTTTTTCTGTTTTCAAACTGGATTTTAAAAATTTGAGTAGGAAACCTCTTCAGAAAAAAAAATAATGAATGCATTCTGAAGGGGAAACAGCATGTAAAAATGCAGATATACGTGATGATTTAGTGAAGTGCAATAAGCATATTGGTAATACATGGGAAGACAGAGATAAAGAGATATGAGGATGGAGAGGGAGTTGGGAAAATAGAGGACTTCTGAGTCTCCCTATTTTCAACTTTATCTTTTAGAATCTCTACATACATTGGTTGGGGATAATGACTAAACTTACATACTTTTGACTCATGTATATATTTTAGTGAAAAAAGTAGTTGTTAAAATAAATAAATAAAGTGGTTTTATTTTTTTAATCATTGGAATTCTTATTGGCTATGTAAGAATGATTTGTTCAGAAAATTCTCCAAGTACTTTTTGACATGAAATTATAACTTACTTTATTTTTCATCATTATATAGAGAGAGCTCAGGTTTGGCAGACAGTTTCCTAATTGCTTTAGCACATATGTTAACTCCATTCCTAATTGCCTAAAAGGTTTTAACGATGAAAAAACACATTTTGTATATAAACATTATGGATGGGAAGACTGTTTATCATTCCTACTTTATGCTTAGCAAAAACAAAAATAAAATTTCACACACATACACATTTAACCATGGTATACTTAAATACTGAATTTTTTAAAAAATAGAAATTAGCAAGTTTTGAATTTGGAACACTTCCAGATTTTTAAATACTTTGTCATTCCACAAAATGATTTAGCACTGCCTTTGTAGACTGGGGGAAGGCTCTACATAAAGTGAATAAGGAAGAGAGATTATTACTAAGAAGTCATATGGACATGCAACTCTGATCTGATAACTCTCAGTAGCTGTTCTAAAATATTACTGTTTTCTGCAGGGCCAAATTCTGTTTAGTGGTTTTAATTTCATTGTGAAACTTGAAATTAAATAATTACTGAAGCTAAATTTTCAGAAATAAAAACAGCAAAATTCCTAATAAAATGATGTACAAATACCAGCTATTCTAAACAAATGATACAATAGAAATGAGTATTCTTGCTTTCCATAAAATATCCTCACTGGAGAAGAAAATGTCTGTAGAAAATGTGCACCAAAACCTCATTGGTATTTGTGAATAAATTATGTTTTTATAGTATTTATCTTTTTCTCAAATTCAAATATAATATTGCAGAAAAGCAGCATTAAATTAATTTTAGAAGAATTGTAAGTCAATAAAGAGTAATCCTTTACATTTTTTTCCATTTAAAATATAATTGAAGATATTGAAGGCATCAACAAATTTCTAGAGTCATATGATTTGCCAAAATTGAATCAGGATGATGTATACAATTTAAACAGATCAATTTCAAGCAATGAAATAAAAGATGTCATCAGAAACCTACCAACCAAGAAAAGTCCAGGACTGGATGGATACACAGCTGAGTTGTACAAGCCTTTAAAGAAGAAATAATACCAATATTTATCAAGTTATTTCATGAAATAGAAAAAGAGGAAGCACATCCAAACTCATTCTATGAGGCCAATATCACCCTGATTCCAAAACCAGGCAAAGACATATCAAAGAAAGAAAACTTCAGACCAATATCTCAATGACCATAAATAAAAAAATTCTCAATAAAATTCTGGCAAATCAAATACAAAAGCATATCAAAATGATCGTGCACCACAATCAAATAGGGTTCATTCCAGGAATGAAAGATTAGGTCAACATACAGAAATCAATAAATGTAATTAATCACATCAATTGACTTAAAGATAAAAATCATATGATCACCTCAAACAATGCAGAAAAAGCATTTGACAAAATATAGTACCCATTCATGTTCAAAACACTAGAAAAACTAGGTATAACGGGAACATATCTCAACATCACAAAAGCTATCAATGCTAAACCTCAGGTCAACATCATTCTAAATGGAGAAAAATGAAAGCATTCCCTCTAAAAACTGGGACAAGACATGGATGTCCTCTTTCACCACTTTTATTTAACATAATTCTTGAAACACTGACCAGAGCAATTAGACAAATGAAAGAAATTAAAGGAATACGGATAGGAAAAGAAGAACTCAAATTATCACTATTTGCCAACTATATGATTCTATACCTAGAAGACCCAAAAAATTCCACCAGAAAACTTCTAGAACTAATAAATGAATTCAGCAAAGTAACAGGATGCAAAATCAGCATCCGTAAATCAAAGGCATTTCTGTATATCAGTGATAAATTCTCTGAAATACAAACAAGGAAAACTACTAATTTACAGTAGCATCAAAAAAATAAAATAAAATACTTGAGAATCAATGAAAGAGGTGAAAGACCTCTACAATGAAAACTAAAAAACACTAAAGAAATAAATTAAAGAAAACCTGAGAAGATGGAAAGATCTACTTTGTTCTTGGATAGGCAAAATTAATATTGTCAAAATGACCATACTATCAAGAGCACTATACAAATTTAATGCAATTCCAATCAAAATCCAATAATATTCCTCATAGAAATAGAAAAAGAAGTCATGAAATTCATCTGGAAAAATAAGAGACCCAGAATAGTTAAAGCAATCCTTAGCATGCAGAGTGAAGCAGGTGGCATCACTGTACCAGACCTGAAACCATACTACAGAGCAATAGTAAAAAAAAAAAAAAAGTGGTTATGCAAAATTTATATATAGGAAAACAAAAATGATCATAATATCTAGTATTTATTTTAAATGAATCATGTACACAAATTGAGAGGGAGAATTATATGTTGGAGGTATTCATATAAAAATGAAATCTTATAAATACACCAAATGGATCCCTAAAAAAACAAAGTATTGAGTTGCTAAGATATCAGCATCCAAAGTTATATATCCAGAGAACATAAAATTGTATTTTTCAAAATATATTTGCCATAAGGGCAAATCTGTCCTTATAAGTCACATAGAACATTCAGCAAAATAGCTATTGACTGACAGTTCACAACAACTGTATGTAGCTTTAAATATTAAAGCTATATACAATGTGTATCCAAGAGAATGATGGTGCTAATCAGATCCATAAAGCAAACTCGTTCATGTGTTCTTTCTTTTTCACCTGCTGAACTTTAGCTTATATGGAACAGAGTGCCCATTTCTCTCTGAGATATCTGTAAGACCACTTTCTAGAGTTCAGTTCTAAAAGACAGCAATTGCTGAGAGTTTCTGTGGTGACATTTGTATGTTCCCATTTGAATATTCCAGGGGTACAGCCCCAGTCACTGTCAGCTGATGCAGAAGACTCAGAACTTCCAGGGGTTCTGCTTCGTTGAAACAGAGATACTACACAAGAATAAGTAAAATGCAAGTGCTGAAACAAACATTTTGACAGCGATTATATTTAACTCCTGGGAAAATCACTTCACTTTTCAGTATTTGTTATGGACCACAAAAAATCCACAAAAATATAAGGTTCTACCTAGGGATTGATCACAATAAAGCTTGATACTTTTTACATCCAAAGCAGACACTTAGGCTGCCAAAACAGCTTTCTCCTGAGGGTATTGCTTTCAGCTTTGGAAGCAGAGATACTGGGAAAGTGACTCACAGACTCATAAGAATATTTAGAGATAACTTCAGACCATTAGTTGACCATTAGCTGTCCAAGCATGCCATAAAGATTCTCAACTTCTGGAATTCTTTTGCATGGAAAATAAGCATCTGTATATTTACATAAAAGCAGAGGAGTTTATTGTGTAGCTATATTTATGGTTACAGAGGAAAAATCTAAAATGCCCTGAATATCTTTCAATAGAGAAATATTTGAAACAATATAGTATTACTGAATATGTAACATTATGCTATTGAAATAAATGAGTTAGTGTCTGCTAAATTAGCACGTTGTCCATTATACATTGTTAAGAAAAAAACCACATTGTAATGTATGTTTGGACAAGCATGGGGAAAAGTATGGATGGTACACTTAAAATAATTAATATTTTCTTCTTGAAGAAGGGTGAAAAGAGGAAACAAGAGGACTTAGCGTAATAAAAAATAAGATTACATTGGAGAAAAATATATGATATAATGTGACATATTGTTATGGTTTAAATATGAGATGTCTCCCAAAAGCTCATATGTGAGATAATGCATGAAAGTTTAGGGGTAAAATAATTGGGTTATGAGAGCATTAACTTAATCAGTTTATTAATCTCCAGATAGGGATTAACAGGATGATACCCATAGACAGATGGTGTGTGGCTGGAGGAGCTGGGTTATTGATGGTGTGCCTATATATTTCATCCCAGGTGAGTGAAATTCATTCCCTCAGCTTCTCTGTTTCTCCTTTCTGGTGTAATGTTCTAAATCACTTTCCTCTGTCACACTCTTCCAACATGATATATGATGCCCTGCCTTACCTCAGGCCCTGAGAAATGGTGTTGGCAATCTAAGGACTGAGCCTCTAAAATTGTGAGCCCCAAACTAAACTTTTCATACTCTAATTCTTGTCAGGTCTTTCACAGCAATGAGAAAGATAACTAAAACATAAATTGGTACCAAGAAGTGGGGTCATTGCTGTGACTACTCTGACCATGTGGTTCAGAAGCCTTTGGAGATTTTTGGAATTTGTGGGAGGTATTTTGAAAAGTTTAGAGACACAAGCCTGCAAAGTTTTATAGTGTTGTAAAATAGCTTAATGGGCAACACTCATGGGAGTTCAAAAGACCAGAATGCTGAAGGAATGTGGACAGTGAATAATGGGCTCATAAGATTTCAGAGGAGAAGGAAAACCTTATTGGAAATTGAACTATAGTCCATTCATGTAAGAAGTTGTATGCCTGTTGCCCATGTTTTCAGATTTTGTGTGAAGCTTAATTTAAAGGTGATGGACTAATAATCTTGTGGAGGGACTTTCAAGGCAGCACAACCTTTAGGCAGTGGCATAGATGATGATGCAGCTTTTAGATAAATTTATTATGATAACCAGGAGCAAAAAGTTAAGCAGAAATATTTGAAAAACTTGCAGTTTAGCCAGAAAACTGTGAATAAAGCTAGGGCCAAGGGAAATGTGGTTGTTAAAGACATTACAACCACCAAAAAATTGCTAAAGACTTTGCCCAGAGACAATAGGGAAGATAGCTTATTAGCATCTCTGGAATTGGCAAGACCACACCCATCTCAGGCTCAAGGATATAAAAGTAAAAATTCCTTTGAGAAAATACTGGTGGGGCACCTTGCTTCCACAGGAGGGCCTAGGAAGTTGTTTCACCATGCTCCGCTACCCAAGCACGCAGAGGGTGCTGTATCCATTTTATCCTGGAGTCTTGGTTACTGCTTGAGATGGTAGCTGCCCTTGGCAGAAATCACAAGATGCTGGTTTTGCAAAACGGCAGGATGCTGGAGTTAGGGGGTCACGGAAGCTTTCACAGATATTTCAAAGGAAGATGTTGGAGTCCAGGCAGTCCCTGCAGGCTGCCCCTGAGAGGGCATTGTATGGAGAAATGAGAGGAGAGTCCAAGCTGCAGTGGAGATTCCCCAAGATTAAGATAAGCCAGTACTGTGGAACATCTGTAGAGGAAAGCTACAGGAATTGAGCATAGACAAGCCAACAGAGAAGCTGTTGACTGGAACAAGCAAAGCCATAAGAACAAAGCTGCACAAGCCTTTTGGAGAGAACACCACAATGCCATGTGCTCCAGAACATATAAAAACATAAGTACCAGACATGAAACTACAGGACTTGTTTGCCCAGCTGGAATTTGGTCTTGTTTTGATCCCATTTTTTCTTTCCATGCCTCTATTTACTTCTTTTGGAATATAAACATGTATTTTGTGTCTTTATATATTGGATATGTATAACTTGCTTTTGTTTTTTACAGGAGTTCATGCTGAAAGTTTGCCTTGAGTCTCAGAGGAGACTTTGGACTTGGACTTTTGGGTAATCCCAGAACTGTTAAGACTGTGTCCTTAACTTCATCAATGCATTAATCCCCTTATAGGGATTAACTGGTTGGTAACTATAGGCAGGTGGGGTATGGATGGAGGAGGTGGATAATTGAGGATGTGTCTTTGGGGTATATATTTTATCCTGGGTGAAGGGAATCTCTCAGCTGCTTTTCTCCTCCACACACTTCAGCTCGATGTTCCGCCTCACCTCAGGCCCCGAGGAATGGAGTAAGCCATCTATGGACTAAGATCTCTGAAGCTATGAACACCAGATAAACTTTTCATCCTGTAAAATTGTTCTTCTTAAGTCTTTTGGTCACAGCAGCAAAACAATTGATTAAAACAATTATTAAGTTCAAATGTGGAAAATTGTGGCATTTATACTAAAAGTGTATGTGTAAACAAGAAGTAAATAATAAGAACATATAAAAACATAGATTTGAAATAAATATGCAGTTTAGGTTACTTTTTTAGTTAAATTTCTTTAGTTATATTAATATACTCTTTTAAAAGTACACTGATTCCTCAATTCTACTGCTAGATTCTCAGGGATTTATATAATGTATTTTTATTAGTGCATTATAGTTATACATAATAGTGGGGCCTTTATAACATAATAATATAAGCATGGAATATAATTTGCTCTACTTCAGTCCCCAATGTTTAGCCTCTCCTTCCTTTCTTCCCTTCCCTTATTCCCCTTTTTCTACTGGTGTTCCTTTTATTTATTTATAGTTTTTCTTTATTAGTGCTTTATGGAAATACCATAAAGATAAAATTGATTATGGTTTATTAATATATTTCATAGTATAGTATGGTCAATTTAATTCCATCCTTTATAACTTTTCTTGTCTTTCCACCCTCCTCCTCTTTTTTCTTCTTCAACTTCACTGATTTTTTAAAAAAATATTTATTCTTAAGTTTTAGGTGGACACAATATCTTTATTTTACATTTATGTGGTGATGAGGATCAAACCCAGTGCCTCATGCATGCTAGGCAAGCACTCTACCACTGAGCCTCTACTGCTGAGCCACAACCCCAGCCCATACTCCACTTGTTTTTAAACTACCTAGTTTTGGAAGTGCTTTCTGATTCAACATAATCAAAATATAAGAGAACCAAGTGCTTTCAGTTGTTCTTGAAGACATGGCCTAACATGAAAAAGTATACAAATACATTCACAGAATGCATATGTATCATCAATGTTTCCATATTTCCCTCCTACAGGTATAAAGACAGAACAACTTAGTTTTAGATTTATCAGCAAATCCTGAGTTCAGTGTAGCAGAATTATGTGGATTTAATAGAGAGACACACAGAGCATTATATACCAACTTCACTGACCACTTGTCTTGAAATGTGTATTGAGGGCCATGGAGGGGAAACTGTGCTGCTTATTATTATGATGGCTTATTATTCGACTTTCTGCTCCCTGTGATTCCTTTTAGGAGCTCTTCCTTCATTACCTTCAAAAGCTACAATGTCTTAATAGTTGTTCCAATCTCCTTTCCATAAAATCTACTCCCCCCAAACAAAAAGGACCTAGAACACTAAGATGTAAATTACTAATAAAGTTAGTTCTTATTCATTTCTACTTCAAGAATTTTTAATTTGATAGTTACTAGGTGTCTGAGGTCTTAGCCTACTCTCAAATCATTGGGGCAAAGTTAAAAGAACAAATTTCTGTTTCTGAATTTTAACAGTTTATAAGAAATATGACTTGATAATGATTGTAGACAGAGGTTGTTCCTTCTGAGCTCAGAGGCTATGTTTAGAAATTTCCAATATTTAAAATAGGGAAACTTTACTTGCCATTTAATATGTGGCAGGAAAAAAAGATAAAACAGATATGGTTCATATGGATGCAAGATTAAGGTAAAGAACAAGGAATCCTTTCTCAGTCAATGAATCAAGATGCTATTAGGGGAGCACACACCCTCCTCAGCCATCTTTAATAATTTCTGGGCATTTGAAGTGGAACTGCAGGACTAGCAGAGAAGGATCATATACTACAATTTGTTAACTAGGTAAAGCTTCCACTGAAGACTGGCACAGGACAGAAGGTGAGGGACAACACACAGGGATGAAAGAGATAAAAATTTTTACTGAGCCACACATAAAATGCCCTTTTTACTTCCTACCTAAATTTTGTAAACCAGTTCATGGATAAGAAGAATTAAACTTTTATTAAAGCTCTTCTGAATGTCAATTTCAGTTGTTGTTATATATAAAGTATTTATATCGTAGTAAATTATCTAGTACTAAATCTATTTTAAGAGGAGGAGAAAGCAATCTTTTGTTGCTTTTACAAAATTTCAAGTTGTAAAACCCTTTAAGCACTCCTATGAATAGTCTTTTCTTCTGTTTGTTATTGCTTTTCAGTTCAGCATATCCTGGTTTAGTAATCCATCAAAATTCTGGTATCCAGAATGGGTAACTGAGGTAAGAACACCAATTAGCAAAATGTTTTCCTAAACTATTTATCCCTAAATTACTTCCTCATTACAGACTCACAAGCTGAAGAAAACTTTAATTTTTGAATATAAGGGAGCAATGAGGAAGCAGAGATATGCAAGGGTTTCCTAAGAGGACAATTCTCTCCTCTACCACAGAATAAAAATAATCAATTTGTATGCCACAATTTCAATACTCTTGTTAGCTAAGACTAAACAGACTATTTGTTTCCCTTTATGAGAAACATAAAAGTAGATAAAAATAAATGAACTAATCCAACTTTAAGCTCACAGAACATATATTTGCTCAACATTCTGATGGTAAATGACAAAAGCTTACTCAAACTAAATCAGACAGATAGGGAAATATATTGATTCTTGGAACTAAAATGTAGGAATTGTTCTGTACAGCTAAGCTCTAATGATCAATAAAAAACTAGGGTGTAGAATCCAGTAGGCCTCTCTCTCAGCCTTTATTTCTGACTCTCTCTTTAGATTGTCTTTATTTTTTCTAACTGTCCCATGTAGTAGAAATGGCTACCAACAACTCCAGATTATATTCTCCACCAGGGGAGGTCTAAAACACAGCCAACATGGTCACAAGTTCTAAAATACTAGGGAAAGGATCTGATTCACCTAACTTCAGATAGATGCCCCCAAATGAATCTTTTTAAAAAATAATCTCTTTTAAAAGTACATTGATTCCTCATACAGGGTTTGAAAGTGGGACATAGATACAGGGTTTGAAAATGGGATAACACACACTCTAGCTGTATTATTAGCAGGAACATTTCTTAGAAGGAGGGGATGGGAAAGCTATAACATTCATGAAACTTGAATTGAAAATTAAAAATTCTGTCTGGGTTGTAAGAGGTTTTATGTTGTATGTGCGTGCGTGCGTGCGTGCGTGTGTGAGTGATGAACAAGAGGAAAGAGAAGAACTGGGATGGGAGGTAAAATCAGTACAATAATGGCATTGGAGAAAGCACATATTCAGCATAGCCTAGAATTACAAATGCTGAGGAATGAGTTTCACTCACTGAAAGATAAGATCATTAAGCAGAATGATGTTCAGGCAGCTTCTGGTAGTAAATGGAATAAGTTCCATAATGAGTTGAGGAAATAAGAGATGTGACTATTTCAGTACTTCTTTTGAAGTCATAAAGACAGTCAAAAACGAAAATACGCCAATATGGATCCACGCATCTGTAGGATTTTTCATTTGACTTTATCTTTTGAGAACATGTATTGAATGAAAGACTATGGTTTAGAGGGCACAGTAGAGTCTAGTTTGGGAATTGTTTCATAGATTATAGAAGAAATAAGTTTTAAATTTTATTATCTCAATTTAAAAATACTACTTTTCTGATCTGTGCAGCTGTTGCTTCTTTGACACTCACCCAAGCACAGAAAATTTTCCACATATGTTTTCCTATGCTTAATCATTTTCTAATCTACTTCAGTATGTAAAACACTCATACTGATCTTCCTTCCAACCTTTTATGTTATTGATTTGGGTATCCTCATGCCTTTATAAAAACTAGCAAAAAGAAATAAAAGGACAATAACAAACTTATTTTAAACTGTTTACTCTCTCTAACAGTTCCTGCCCTGGATATTTAAATGGATAGAGAACAAATATGACATTCTCCTTTATTTCTATTCTTGATGTCAAGACAGGAAATAAACTTGAGATCTCTTAATATAATTGTATCAACTGAAGGAAGAGTAGTGAATCAGACACCAAGAGAGATTGAAGGATAGAGAAGATTAAACAGCAGGAAGGAGCAGCCAGAGAAGTAAAAGAGAATCTATCTAGAGATATGTTGTGAGAATGAAGAGAGTTCCTTTGTTTGAGTGTGGTGAATTAAGTAAAATACTACAGTGAAGACAAATAAGGTAAAGACTAAACCCTGTCCACTGGATTTAACAACCACAAAGTTTTTGGTGTTTTGGAAGAGGAGAGCACCAGGGGAAAAGTACACACAGAAGAAGTTGAAGCTCAATTTCAAAAAGTTGAGCAAAGCCTAAGCAGCAAATATAAACTATACTTTCCAGAATCTCAGCTTTTTAATACAGAAGAAACAAGAGGATAGATGTGGATGCATGTCAAAACAGATCTGAATTTTCTGTTAATGTATCTTAAATGGAATCTTAACTGATATCATTGAGACTATCTAGGTTAAGTGTAGTTTTAGAAAAAAATAGATTTTCAGGCTAATCTGAAAAATAGTTCATTATTATTACAATGTAAACAATTGTTGCTTGTTTTTAATTTATAGAGATATTTTTTTCTTTTCGTGATGTAAAAAAGTACTATATATGACTTTTTGCTCTGATAACTTTCATCTTTGAGTTTGGGGTAAAAGTTAAAATCTTGTATTAGAAATTATTTGTAGCAAATTATAATTACAGAATTAACTGCAAAGTCCCATTCAAATTTAAACTCTAGAAAGCTAATTAAAATGGAGACCACAATGGAGATTTCCAGAAAAGAATAACTCATATGTCATTCATTTAATCTAATCAATCCTGTTTAAAAAAACCAGTGAGCATCATCTAATGCTTTCTGCCAGGAACACTTTCTCCATGTGATGTCACAGGGTAGGTACCTTAACAATTATGTGAGATATTGCATGTAAGTTTTTGCACTAGCATAAGTATTATCAATTTTCTAGCAAATTTTCATTCAAAATGTTATTGTTATCTATTGAGTTAACACTTAATATCTACCACTTCACAATCACTCGCCAAACTTGACTCAACCACATTATAATCACATTTTCAAGACAGCATGTTAAATTTTTTAAAAATGAAGAAGCAACTTGATCCAACCTCTTCATAAGGTGGTACTATTCTCCCCAACTCCTCTGTTCTTCTAACATCTTCCTCTTTTCTGT